TATAGGATAGGGTCATTTCAGGTTCCCTATCCTCAGCTGCCCAAGGAACTAACTGGGGACATCGCCTTGGGCTCCTGGGAGCCACTCTAGGTTCAAGTCTCTTGCCAACCCTAAGGTGGCTCCCTTAACTAAGATTTGTGCTTCCCTGCTCCCCTATCCAACCTTCCTTTATCCCAATCTTCCTGTGAACAAAATGCAACATTCTTATGAAGCTAATTTTAAAAGTTTGATAAATTCTCTTTGCTGGCCTGTCCAAGCAAGGAGCACTCACCAATGACCTCAATGCAGAGAAATTTGTATTTCTGTCTCTTTGCATCTTTCCATATCATTTTCCCCACTTTATAGTGATAACTGATTAAAACGTGTGTGTGTGTGTGTGTGTGTGTGTGTGTGTGTGTGTATTGAAGGCATTAATGTAACTCAGGAAAGAAATGTTCATTAAAATAGCTAATGTGATGTTTATCGGCTGATTTATTTAATTTGTTTGCTTGGGGGGGTGGGAGGAAAGACTAACTCTGTACAGAAAATTTGATAATTTTTGATAGAATATCTTAGCAATGAATCTTTCACTTGTTTACACTTTTGGCATAGACTTTCCACTCTCAGGAATTTATTTCTATACTGCTATCACATTCATGCTCACTTTAATTATAAAAAGCTAGAAGTGTCCTTAATGCCCATCAATAAAGGATTACTCAGTGGAGTGTCCTGCTGCCACGGAAGCAAATGGACCACGGCTCTACACGTGAATACCCATCACTGGGCTGCTTTGTGAACGAACAGCAGTGACAGCTCTGGGACTTCACGTCAGAAGGCTCAAGTGACCGTTCCCGAGAACGGTGACTGTGCTTGGCTAACAAACACGAGTTTCAGCTTATAGATTACAGAACACATCCGTGGCTTGATTTGTGGGTTGTTTAGGAGGGTTAAGCAAATAAAAGGGTGTAATAAAAACCTGCACACATAACATTCTACACCTAACCTGCTATCGCGAAAAAAGCATAGTCTTTTCCATAGCTTCTTTTATATATGTATAATTTATATATAAATTATATTATAAATTAATTTATATATAAATGAATAAACAGGTCTTTAGTGCTCAGCTCAGTGTGTGTGTTTGAGTCATCATATATTTTTATATGTATTTCTTAGTACAACACAGATAATCCTACAGGAGAAAATGGAAGTGTTAGGTGGATAGAAAGCAGTACTCAAGAGTTATTTTTAGCCTTAAAAATAGAATTGGTCAGGCACAAGTCACACAGCCATAATCCCAGTACTCAAGAGGTAGAGGCAAAGCATGGTGGTAGCACTGGAGAGATGTCTCAGTTGTTAAAAGCACTTACTGCTCTCCCAGGGGACCCAAGTTCAGTTTCCAGCACCTTCATCAGGCAGTTGATCGACATGTAACTCTAGATCCTGGAGGGTTTGATGCTGCTGGCTCCCTTGCACTCCACATTCACAAGCACATCACCACGTACACACACAAATGCAACAAACACACACACAATGTTAAAAAGAAAAAAAAGAAATCTTTCTTTTAAAAAGGTAGAGAAAGCAGATCAGAAATTCAAGACCATCCCAGGATATATAGAAAATTTTCAGCCATGGATCACATGA